AAGCGACACGCCACTCATTGGGTCCAATGAGGGCTTACCACGTGGTAATAATTAACCGAACAGAAATTCCCATTAACACCATACATTAAATACCCTGACAAGTCATGCATCATTCAAATATCCAAACAGGAATATATCCGAACAATAATATCTCATCATGATAAACAAAAATAAATTTTTAACCCACTTGGCAATAATTTCAAACAAGTATATACAGTATTTATTTTCAATAATTCATAATTTTTTCAAACAACAAAACAACACATAACCATTCACAAACACACCCATCACAACACATTAATAATGGTTACCTTGTGTCTTGAATAACAAGTTCCCCTTCACAACTCCTTTTTCACCACTATCTTTGTCAATATAATCTACATAATTATTTCACAATACTATATATTAATTTTACATTAAAATAAATAACTCTAATTTAAAGAGTTAGAAAGTCTTAAATCTATAGTCCATATTAATACTAATTTAAGATTTATGCCTCATTTAACTTCCCAAATTCTTTTCTAAAATTCTCGTACCCTAATGAACTATTTTTTTTATCCTCAATTCACTTCTAGTATCACAATTTCATCCTTCTACATTCTAAAAATTCATCCAAAAATAAATTAAAAATTTTAGAATTATCCTGAAGCCTCAAATCACCTTTCTATAACCTCAAAAATACCTATTCATACTTAAATAAATATTTAATAATCATAGGTTTATCCCTACGTCTCAGATTCCACATAAATTCAACCATATAGATCTAGATTTTAACTCAAAAATTCTTAAACATGAGTTTCAACCTTAAAAAAATATTCTATAATATTTTTTATATCCCTAAGAATTTTAACCTATATTTTTAATCCATCATATCATCAGATTAACTATCCTATAGAAAAATCCTAATCAAAATATTTACTCTATCCTACAAAATAATCATATCACTAGAAAGCTAATATTATTTAGAAAATAACTATAAAATTAATTTTGTAATTAAATAAATTTTTAAATGCTAATCTAAACAGGAAAGTTAGAACATACCTGAAGAAAAAGAAAATAATCCCCCCTTGCGAGAAAACGCCGAGCAACGTGAGAGAAGAGAGAAAAATAATATAAAAATGGGATTGTGAGTCCCAAAATTATATTAAAAAAAAACTATAGGTTTGAATTTAATTATTCAAACCTTTGGGCCAAAAGTTGCAATTTTCTCTAAATTGCATCTTAGCCTCTCATGCTTCCTAATGCACACACCCCCTCCTTTTTATACATGAAGGCACCTCTTCTCTTCCCTCATCTAACCAATGTGGGACTTAGAAACAACAACCTTCCACCCCCTTTTTTTTTGTTCCTTCTACCTTCTCTCTTTTTTTTTTCAACACATACATAAAAAAAATTATTTATGTATTATATCTTAACTAAATATTGCTTATGTGGTTTTAAATTTAAATTTTTAAATTCATAATTAAATACCTAACCATAATATTATTTCTAAATAACCTCAAATAATATAAATTCCTATTATTATCATTTTTTTTCTCAAAACCTAAATTCCACAATTTCTTTATTATATAAAAAATCAGGATGTTACAAGCTCCTAATCACAAAATCCAACTAAAAACTTAAAACTCAACTTGGAATTTGTCCTTAAGGTATTGATCCAAGCAGCAGTAGGAATTGTGGGAATCATCAAGATCCCATTGTAAGCATCATGACCAATTCTTGCCAAAAAATCAGCACATGTGATGTTTTCCTTTCTAGTATAATGAAGATCAGGTTCCCAATTTGTATAGAGTAAGTCACAAATTCCATTAAGCTCACTTCGCAATGGATGATTGACTAGATAATCTCTCTTCAATTGGTTCAGTGCCTCAAATGAATTGAAGTAAATCTGAATCTTGGTAAGACCGAGCTGTTTAGACACAAGGAGTCCTAGATTGCACTAAGTTCTACTTCAATCATAGTGAATAAACCTAAAGCCTATTGAAAACCTATGATCCAATCCCCTACAAAATTTTATAGTGCCCCCCACATGATGCTTGATGATCCCTAAGGACAAATCCATCAACATCTATGTGAATGACATTTGTTAGGGGAGCTGTCCAACTTGATTCTTGTTTATGCAATCCATAAAAAATCTTGTGTCGAAGTTCATTCCTAATAGTGCTTTCCATGAGAAGACGGAGGCATTGATGATAGATCTCATTTGTACGTGTAATTTGGCCCTAAAAAATAAATCTGCATCTTGAACTCCATAGAGTCCAACACACTAGAATAAAAACTCTCATCCACAACCACATTCCAAATCTTCCTTTTCCTAGTCATACTTCAAGTTCCAGCTTAGCCAAACCTATAAATTTCCATTGAAAAAACTTGAAAGATTGTTAATTTTTAAAATAAGTGACCACACTGATTTGGCACTCTCACAACCTTTCAAGATATGGATAACATTTTCCTTACTATTATACTCAAAATGGCAACTCAGTGTTTGAAATTTCTCTCTTTACTCTAAGTGAGTTTGTAACTAATCCTTGGTGGGAAACTTGTCACATAAAAAGTTTGACCTTTTCAGGAATATTCCACTTCCATAATTTCTCCCATAAAGGCTAGTTCCTAACCTCTTCACTGTGAGTTAGGAAATTATAGGCACTGTGAATAGAAAAAATTTCATCCATTGCTGGTCTCCACCTCAAGGTGTCATCTTCAATAGAAGAAGGTGGTTTAGTTGACCTTAAGAGAGAGATATTCTCTGAGAAAAAAGGTCGCTTCATCCTGCATAGTTCCATTGTCCACTAGGTAGAATGTGGTCCTAAAATTTATCATGTGAGTTAAAAGTGCAAGATTTAATTACATAAGACACAAGAGGCTGGTCAAGTGGTATCCACAAATCTCACTAAAAACTAGTAGATGCATCATTATTCACTTTCTTCCCAAGTCTTTTCAGAAAGGAGTCCCAAATAATAGCAATAGAATGCCAAGTTAAAGATGCATAGGCATACTTTCCAATAGCTAGAATGCTGCCACTTACGCAACCATATTCAACCTTGAGACATTTGACCGATAATGCCTCAAGTTTGGTCACCAAAAAACCCCATCATAGTTTTAACATGAAGGCTTCATTCTGACATCTCAGCTTTTTTATACTTAGCCCTCCCTCATTCTTACTTTTGGTAATCTATTCCCAGGAGATTAAATGCATTTTTTTAGACTCCTCATCATAAGTCCACAAAAAGTTCCTTCCTATTTTCTTGATTACATCAAGTACTCCTTTGGGAATATGAACCGATTGCATCTGATAGCTAGGTAACGCAGATAAGACTACTTTGATCAGGACTATTTTGCCTGCTTGATTTAGGAACTTGCTCTTCCAAAGAGAAAGGCATTTCTTGACCTTCTAGATTATTGGATTGAAAGTGTTCTTTGTAATGCTGGAGTGGAAGATAGGCACACCTAAATATTTTCCAAGATCGGCTAATAAACCAATCCCCGATATCTGACTAAGCTCTTGCCTTCCAGCAAAATGAACATTTCTAGAGCAAGATATTTTAGACTTATCCAGGTCAATCATGTGCTCTGAAATAAAGCAGAAACTTTTGCATAATATTTTTCATGACCTCCATTTGTTCAGTCGAAGCTTTAGCAGAAAGAAAGAGATCACATAGACGGAACATTGTGTTGACATTGCGATATTTTAATTTCCAAATGTTAGAGGGAACATTGTGTCATTAAAAACTTAAGGATGTCACTTGTGCCTTTTTAAAGCTTTCAAGATAGAATCGCACTTCATCAACCCGATTTTGAATGAACAGATCTCCTAGAGAGAGATGCATGAATGAATTTACTGATGATTTATTTTACTATGTAGAAAACTAGGTTAGTAAAAATAGTGGCACAAATTTTACTTTTCAATAAACAAAAAAATGTTGAAGCGTTTTCCACCTCTTTCAAAATCATTTAAATACGACATGTAGTTGTGCAATCATAAAAGATTTGAAAACTCTATATTAATATTTTTTTTTCGTTGAAAATAAACCTTAAATCTTAGATCCCACGGCGTAGTTATATATACCTGGTTGATTACCCTCTCACTGCGCAGCAAGTTCAAAATGCCAGAAATATTATGGACCGGTTGGAGTTGGACAGTAAGTGTATTATCATTCATAGCCACCTTGACCTATAGGAATGAACGAAGCCAAGCCCGCGGTCCATCCTAAATGGGAAAAATGGGAAAGGCTAGAGAGAAATGCTGATGTCACTAACAGTCGTAACGGAATTTGAGTCAGTATGTGCATGAGATTTCAAGCCAAACATCTTAAACCCAATATTCAAAATCTTCCCCCCTGCCTTCCTTCTTCCTTTCTCACCCTCCAACTCACAGAACTTCCCGACAATGCCATCCAATTCTGGTATTAAACGTTCCTCACGGCCTCCGTCACCACCACCGCCTCCTCCACGTCGTGTGAATCGTCGACGCAAACAAGTACCAGAGTCAGAGGAAGTCCCACCAGAATCAGAGTCAGAGGATGTCAAGTTATTCAGAAAAAAGCACCAGCGTAGACACGGGAAAGATATATATGAAGTGCCAGATGAGGTTCCTCCTGAGTCGAGTAAAGAAGCCAAGAGAAGGCACAAATTGGTCCAAGATCATCAAGAACTCAGTAAAGCTGAGAAAGATGAGCTCCATTCCGCGGCCGTTGAGCTTTTCCTTTCCAATAACCCGAAGCGCTTCCTATCTCTCGTCTGCGACTTCGCTAACTCCACCGTTATAAATCAGAACGCACCATCACAAGTTAAGGCTCTCTGGGAGTTCCTTGCCCGTCGATATCCAAATGCTTTATCTCTCATGCTCGCTCGCCTCCTCATCTCGCGTCTTCCCTCTGGTGTTGGAATCTTCACCGTTGATCTGCTCCACCATGCTCTAAATAAGATTCACGGCCAAGATCGGTTTATAATTGATAAACGCGTCCTTTTCCATCTCAAACCCCTGCTTCTTAACGCTATCCACAACCACGAATCATTACCTTACCTTCTGAATTTATCTGAAATAGCCGCCAGGATATTTGAAATCGAGAGGTGGGGTGAACTTCTTGACTATCTTTTACACGCCCTTAACACGAACTTCGAAACAAGGCAAGAAATGGCACTCAGGGTGTTATCGACTTTGCCCGAGTCGAGGGAAGAGTGTCTCGGGGCATACATATTTTGGTGGGCCAACCATAAGTCGCTTAACGTTAGATTCGGCGAGCTATTTGATTCCCCCAATCTCAACATCCAGGCTCTGACATTCGATGCCTCCGTTAAATTGGTACGCCTGCTGCACCGATGGAGGTTTTACAGCGAAATCGATGTCCTATTACCAAAGATGATTTCCTTCCTGCGAGCATTTCACTTGGACGGTCGAACCCATATCGTGGAACCAAGAATAATGGATTTGGTGGAATTGGCTAGATATCATACGGACCGTTTTTTGATGCAACTTGATGTTGTCTTGGACTGCATGTTCCGAATTGCCGTGACTGCAGATGGCAACATTTTTCTCACGTTCCAAGCGATTAAAATTATTAAGATGCTCGATGAACAGGCTTTGAGGCGAGTTTCAGAGTTTCTTGTTGAACTTTCTGTGGAGGCTAGATGCAGTATTTTCCAGAATTGCGTGCGCTTGCTGCTTTGTATCGCAGATGTTCCTGCTTGGTATGATGTAGAGAGTACATCGAGTGGATATATGGGGATCTCAGAGAAGTATCGCCTAGGAAAGTTCTTATTGTTCCGGGTCTGCTGGCATTCACCCGAAGACATACCACTTTCCATTGGATTTGAGATGGTACCACAGTATTTGATTTCTGAAAATTGGCAGGTTCGTCACGCAGGACTGATTGTCTTCGCTGCAACTGTAAGCGCATGTGGCCGGCCCGTAATCTCATCTTTTCCCTGTTTTCGCAAATTTTTTTGTCTTCTTATCGTCCCTCCATCTTCTCTGTAATCATTTTCTTAATTTCTCCATGGCTGCCATGTAGGAAATGATATGTGACCATGCTGAGAGGGTGCTAGAGATCTCGCTGACTGATGCCCACCCTCGCGTTCTTTGGGCTGCGATTGATGCAATTATATGTCTAACTTCAGACTCCGATCAAAAGCATGTCCGATATCTAAATAAGTTCGTCCCGAGACTAGTCGCCATAATTAGATCAGCTTCAATTTATCCCCGTTTGCAGGTATAAACAGACACCAAGTGGAGCTTGCCATCTTTGCATGCATTCATAACATACCTACACTATGTAGTAACTAACTTGTTTTTAGGTGTGAATTTATACATATGGTCTCAGTTGCATGCTGTTATAGTAACTGGTCGCTTGATTAAATATTGCGGCGATGAAGAAGTGAAGTCGTTCTCGGAAGATCTGGTGCCTGAATTGCTAAAATTTCTAAAGGTATATATACGTGTGTGAGAACTACGCATAATGGATATTTATGGGAACTTGGCCCCATCAAATATATTTTTTTCTGGAATATTCACAGTTTTATGCAAATAACCACCTGCAGCGAGGAGGGAAGTTCCGGGAAGAAGCTACGGAAACTCTGAGACCATTGGCAGTATCATTTTCGGTATATGTATATATAGCTCAAAGTCAAATTGTGGAAGCCTCATGTTGGTGATTACTTATCAAATAAAACTTGAAATGCGTATTGTATTGTGGGGTGCAGGTTGTTTTACGCAAGTACTATCAGGAGACAGTAGATTCCTTGAAACCGCTTATATCTCAATTATTGCTTGGGGCAAAATCCATAGAATCCTTGAGTTATATTTTCTCAGCGTTTCTCTGGGACCACTCTGCTCTTTCTCTTTTAAAAAATGCTGGAGAGGTAACCACTACTATCAATTTTTTTTTTGGTACAACATACTAATAATGTTTTTTTAATTAACGTAATCATTAATAATTCTTAGTGATAAGAAGAGCACTTATTTAAATCTTTTGTATTCAATAATAAATATTACATTTTCACTCCTAAATATAAAATTTTCATTGCTTTTTTGCGAGTTGCTATACAAAATATTTGAAGCATTTATGATAATTTTGGAAAAGATAAAATTATTAAATTAATTTTAGCCACTTTTCTTAATCCATGTGATTCAATTAAAATCGTGTTATAAATTAAATAGGACTCCTTTTTTTTTTTTACCGTCATCTTGTAAATAGGGTTGAAAATGGATTCAATATATATTTATATTTCTTATATTACCACTTCATATTTATTGGACAGAGGATCACTGTTGGAGAATATACTTGCTATTTCAATAACAGATAATTATTGGATTCAAGAATTATAGTAACTCCCCGTGGCTTTCGATTTAAAAAAAAAAAGGTTGATATGATTAGCGAAGTAAAAAAGACAAAGTATGTCGTCATTTCTTCTTTTATATGAAGATCTTTAAATTTTTGAATTATTGTTGCATTAATGATTTACTTGAGGTCATTAATGCTAAATTATTTGTAGTTAATTAATGATTATATACATTTAACTGATTACTTGCTTTCTTGCCATGAATTTACATTAGTAAAGTTGCAAGGTACAACAATCACTAAAAAAAAATTAACTTTCAGTGGTGACTTATTGAAAAGTTGTCGCTGAAAGTTTTCAACGACAACAAAAAGTTGCTGTGAGAGTTCTTGTTGTTGATTTTATTTACGGCGATAATAAAAGTCACCACTGAAAGTTAAGAATTAACAGCAACAAATGTCACCATAGAAAAAAAATTTTATTGTTGTAGAAAGATAGTTGTTACTTGAAAATTGAGAATTAATGATAGCAAAAATTGCCACAGAAACCACACATCAGTAGCGACTAAATTGTCGCCGTTGAATGTTAAGTAAATGTCATCGCAAAAACTATCAATTAATAGTGACTTTTTTGTCGCTGTTGAAAAGTAAAGTTGGTTTAACCACCACATGTTGTCACCTCACCCCTCCACATGTCGCCATAATCACACCACTCCACGTCGTGCCACCTCACTCCTACATGTGGTGCCACGTTGCCCTCCATGTGTCACCTCAACCTCACACCCTGTGGCGCCATGTCACCCTACCTAATGTCACATGTTATCATGTCACCAATTATATTTTCATTTCACAAGTTACCTCTTTCAAGATTTAAAACCATGACCTTTTCCTTTTGTATCCCACTATTTTGCCCCTAAGTGGAATAAACCTGTAATCTATTATTGCATAATTAAATATATATATATATAGATATATTTATAAACACAACACACACACACACATTAAATACTAATAGCAAATATTATAAAATCTCATTACTATCATTAAATACTTCAATTTAATTCTTTTAATTTATTCAAATTGTAAATTATATTATTTATTTTGTCTAAAGTAAACTATAAATAATAATTGATACAATATCATTTGTATTATTTATTTTAATGTTCATATTTATAATTATAATATAAAAATATCTAAAAATAATAGTAAATAGTAAAAATATATTGATTATACATTAGTTCATAACTATTTATTTTTTTAGCTAGTTTTATTTAAAATTTTATTTTTACTTTTAATTAACAATAACTCTTAAGTAATGTAATTGGGTTGTTTTTATATTACACTTTACTTTTTTAATTATTTTTCATTTTAAATTATAATTTTATAAGAAAAAATATAACTATTATCTATTTTTTTATATTTATGTTGCGAGATAGCATCAAACAAAAAATCATATAGTATCACATACATAAATATATTTCATATATTGTAAAAGTTAAAAGTGAAATTTTAAAATAGTTCATTTTTCTTCTTTTCATCTTTCTCTTTCCCATCATTAGCTATCAAAT